ACTCAGCGATCAAGCTAGTGCTGGCAGCGAGCGTTCACCAGATTCCTTTTGCACCGCCAAGACTGTTGTTCATGGCAGACGATAAAGGCCCGTTCACACTCTTGCAACCGAGTACGACCGAGAGAGACCAGACCGGTTTTTGAGCCTCTTGCGATCTCTTAGGACCAGCTCCGCTGCCTCGCATCCGGTCCTAAGAAGTCGCTCTCAGTCGTACTCGGTCGCAAGAGTGTGAACGGGCCTTAAGTTCGTTTACCCACACCTCGAGCTGATGACGACTTGCGAATACTTTCCATTAGCGGCGAGATGTAACGCCCTCCTATGGTTCCTCTCGTGACGTCATTACCTTGCGAACAAGAAGTTCGACAGTGTCTGTAGTGAGCATGGTGGAAGCTTGAAATCATTGTGCTCTCAAAGCAACACTGCCAACACCGTCAAAATCAAAGTTCTTACATTGCTCTTACTTCTGTCGATGAAAAATCCTTTGCTTAAGGCATAGTCAGCATTAGGCAATCGTGGCAGGCCGACCACAGCGACGCCTTCGATCCCGTACATCGCCACTAGTCCTCGACACGATGAGAACGACAGGGCGTCTTTTTCGGAGGCCAGCACGCGCTCGTTGCCTTTTGTCGTGCTTTGGCCGCGCGTTCACGCTCGAAGGCCACGAGACGCCCGAGTGTTGTCCAAGGTAAAGCCCCTCGATGTGTTTACGTGTCTTGCAAGTAGCGTCAAATGCGCGAGCGCACGAGGCCCATGTCTCGAGCGGCCCTTGGAAGCAAATGGCGCTGCCGCACTGAAATGAGTAGGGTGACTACATGTCTGTCCGTCCCAGGGTGAAGACATCCATTGTTCCCCTGAATGTGCCAGTGCGTGACGCTCTCGCGCACTCGGTGCGTGACTTGGGCGGCAAAATGGCGCCTATGTATTAGCCAAAGCTAGACGCTCGAGCTGAGTGACACCGGATTGCGCGCACTTCAAAATGCATAAAAAAACGAATGGGCGGAAAAATGGCTGAGATGTCACCACTCAAGCAAAAGCGCGCGTGTGTATGAAGGCACCCTAGAAATGAGTGGCCCTTGGAAGCGAATGGCGGCGGAGCACGCGCTCGCGGCACGTGTCTCGCGCGTTTCCACAACAATGGTTGGCGGTACTTGTAAAAAAGGCCTTTATCAAGGGGCTTTAGTCCAAGGTAGGAAGCTGGAACTGGCGGCGAGACAACTGAGGCCCCTCCCTGCGTTCTTATCCTCTCAGTGGCTATAAAAGCGACTATAGTCCGAACGGAAATTCAACAAACACCCCCACAATAGGCAACAAAGTTTGCAAGACAGAAGGACCTTACATAGGAAACAACGCGGGCGCATTGGCGTTTCTACCAAACGTCGAAAGCGCAACAACAAAGGAAACGAGATCTCGAACGTCACCGTCCACGACCGCCCTTGAAGTCGACAGGAAACGGTGAGGAAAGAAACCACAACCTCGGAATGTATCAATCTGTAGGACACCTGTCCGCCACCATTGAAACAAAAGAACCAAGCGGAGGAATATTGAAAGTAAACGGTCATCCGCGGACGGACAGACGATGAACCAGGTCGGTCGAGCTGGAGACAATGGAGAAATCAGTCGAAGCGAATCCGAACAAAAAAGAGCGCCAGAGAGGAAAGCACCGCGCCGCCCACGTGACTAAAGGGTCACGTGGTCTTAGTGGCCCCGGGTGTGTGTAAGAAGAGTGAGGCGCCATTAGCCCGGTTTCACCGGAGAAGCCGCGGCCGCTCTTGCTCGCTTCTTGGGAGGGGGAGGTTTCTTTTCAAAGAGGCCACCCCGCACGCCGAGTCCAGAAACAATGGGCCCATCGAGAAGAGCGGCGGGGCATAAATAATTCCTGGGACGCTCAGTGATTCTTCTTCTTACATAAGGCGGCCTTGTTCGCCGCCGCATCAAAATAGAGATATCGCCGCGCGCTCTTCCCTCCGTCAGAGGGAGGCGGCCAAGCGTGACGCGATCAATTTGGCACGAGCCTCACATACGGTCTCGGTTGCTCTATAAAGGGATCCTTACGTGTGCCGTCCTTTTGCCAGAACGTGTAAAAACTTTAATCAGGCTGCCCAATGTCGAAGGAAAACGGCATGCCCCGAGCAGAGAAGTGAGCAGCAGCCGGCTGATGTTGTCGTAGGCGTTGGGGCGTTTGGCCCATGCTTTGGTCGAATATTGATGTATGCTGCGACTAATCTGCGCGGCATACCTCTTTTCAGCGCAGTCAGGTGTAGCTGATATCCTTTCTAATAAGTAAAATTATTCATAAGCACCGCATACTGTTTCGAAACTTCTGAACTTAACGTGCTCAGTCTAAAAACATACACACACAAAAAAAGAGCCAGTACGAAGGAGATAAATCTCCCAAATGTCCCTCCTCCCCCCTTCCTCCCTTTCTCCCTCCCTCGCTCCTCCTCCTCCTCCTCTCCCCCGTGGCTCGTCATCGAGCGATCTCTACGCGTTCTCGATGTTGTCCGGTGATTGGCATGCCCTTACTTTGCGTTTCGATGCGCCAAAGACGCATTTTAGAACGCTCGCTCGCCGTATCAGCAGCGAGAAGTTTTAGTGGCGCCCTAATATGGTTACCTTTCGTGACGTCATTACCTTGCGAACAACAAGTTCGATGAAGTTTGTAAGGAGCATGGTGGAAGCTTGAAATCATTGCGCTCTTACTGAAGGTACCTAATTTGTACTTATCAGCAATGACGCGAAAGCTGAGAATCGGCGGACCCAATCAAGCAGTGCGAAAGGTGCACCGTCATGGCGCTCTTTGTTTTTTTGCGATTGTCTATCACCGGCTACAACAATCACGCACAGTTGAGTGCGGCGTGATTCTGCGCCATTTTTTTTTTATGTGTGACTTGTTTAGCCGCGATATCAAACGCACTAATACGACAAATGCCGTGACCATGCTTTTTTTTTCTTTTTGCGCTCCTTGGTTGTTAACGTCGAATCACGGCGGTGGCTGCGGTGGTGTAACGTGAAACGAAGTGTACTTGATCAAACAAAAGATGCAAAATACTATTTTTTTTTTTTTTTTTTCAATCGCGTGTTTTCCGAGAAGTTCGGTGCTGGAATATAATTCTGCCACGGTGGGTAATCTTGTTTTAAGAATCCGGATTTGTCGGCAGGTTGTGGCGTTACGCTCACTTCTTAGCGCGAGGCAGCATCGCTATGGCCTGACCTCTGATCCCGGCTTCAAAATATGCCAATGTCATCAAAAGCGAGAGTTACGGCGAGTTACGCCGCGACGGATTCCCGTCACAGCACGACGCCCCATATGACTGACACCGAGATCGACCGAGTTGAGGGTGAAATATTCTCGGCGCAGCTCGGAAGCACAAGCTTATTTCCATAATCCTGTCAGCCACGCGCAGTGGGCAACAAGCGGTACGTGCCAGGCAAAGGCTCGGCGTCTCTCTACTTCTCCCACTCCCGAAACAGTTTGCGTCTTTTTTTTTTTTTTTCTTTCTTTCTTCCGTGTCTGCACGCCAAAAGACGTGGCAAAAGGGGTTCACTTCTGTCAACGGGCATGATTAGCCACACTCTGGTCGGTGTATGGCTAACCTCACCGACTGACGATAAAGTAACTGCAGCGCGTCGTGAAGCTTCTGAGAACTGTCTGAAACAGAGGTGTGCGGTCATGGTTTGACCTAGTTTGACCATTTATTGCTTTTGGCCTCAAAATCATTCTATTGGCGACGTGAGCGATCGAAAGAGTCGCTGTGGTCGGCCCACCACAATTGGCCAAATGCTATGACGTCAGCAAAGGATGTCTCATCGACGGAAATTAGAGGAATGTAAGAACTTCAATTTTGACGGTGTTGGCAGTGTTGCTTTGAGAGCGCTATGATTTCAGGCTTCCACCATGTCCATTACAAACACCATCGAACTTGTTGTTCACAAGGTAATGACGTCACAAAAGGTAACCGAACGAGGGCGCCACAAAAACATCTCGCCGCTAATAGAAGTCGCCACGGCTGGGTCAGCAGTAAGTACTTGTTTCTTTGGTGTGTTTTTTTTTTTTTTTTTTTATAGATCATGAAACGTTTTGCAGGTACTCACACCGCAGAAGACAGCTCTATTCTCAGATTTGCCACAGAGGAAAAGACAGGAGCACGAACTCATTCAGCTTTGGCAGATGGTTTCAGGCAGATGCTGTCTAATAATTACTTTCCCTAGCCTCGAGTTCGCGCCAGTCGGCCATTGCTATGTCGCTCTTCATTGCAGTGGGCGTGACGGGCGAATCATCTGGCAAGAATGAGTGGTACTCAATCACTTGTCTATCTAACTACAAAAAACGCTTTGGAGGAGAAAGTAAAAAACAAAAACTCCCATTTTTAACGCTGTAGATTCAAGCTCGACACGGTCGTTGTCGGTATATCTTACCGAAGTAATAAGGTTGACGGCTGATCTGTTCTTAACGACAGCTATCATTTACATCTTCGTATTTCGTCTTCGGTTACGTGAAAGTCTGAACCCAAATTCACAGAGAGATATGATTTCACTAGTCTGCTTTGTTCGAATGCACAACTTTTGTGACGTCAGGGAAAGGGCGGAACATTCGTCAGCACTCTTTTTCAAGATTGATGTCCGCAAGGCCAAAGCCCCCCTAGTGCCCAATGCGTCACAGTGCATTGTGAACTAAGAAAATCGTCTCTTTCGCTCCCCCCCTTTATTTTATTTTATTATTTATTTATTTTTTAAACGAGCTTTAACTGGGTTGGGAACACAACTTTTCAAGGCTATACTCGGCCTCTTCTTCAGGGGTCTGTCAACCGGGCAGATCTCTGTCGAATGGTCACGCTTCTTCTGGTGCATTCCTCTGATACAGTTGTCACGTTGCAACACACAGACTAAACACGCGGCGGCGTACGAACGCCTCTAGTGACCTCTACCTTCCCAAGCAGATCACCGCGTCAAACATGAACCGTACACAGAGCAAGATTTCTACCCACTTCCTTCCAACTCACTTGACTAGATTCCTCCTCGAAAGTCCTGGCGAGCATGCACTCCTGGAGGCGCTGGAGTCGCTTGTCCGCCAGTTTGGTCAGCTTCGTCATGGCCCTCTTGAGCTCGCTGTAGAGCAGGGCACTCTTCTCCAGGGCGTCTCTGGAGAAGCACGGGGACAGAAACAATGGGAGCCTTCATGTCGCTGCAACAACTGGGCTAAGAGAGCAGCTAGGGACGTCCGAGAGCAACGCGAGGACAAGGATACTCGACGAAGAGGTCGCCACAGATTCCTCAGATATAGAGATGAAACAAAACAGTGCACGTGCAATCACTCTAAAAAAAGCCTGTGCGTCTACTTCCCCGCACAACACTCGGAGAGCCATTCGCTGCAATTTACGGAGGCAGCTCAGCGAATGACGATGGCGAAACATATGTTTAGAGCAAAAAAACGCAGTCTGAGTTGTGACACTAAGCAATGCAAAACGTCAAGCTTACATTGCTTAATGTCACAACTCAGACTGCGTTTTCTGGTCTAAACATATGTTTCGGCATCGTCATTCGCTGAGCTGCCTCTGTAAGTTGCGGTGATTGGCTCTCCGAGTGTTGTGCGGGAAAGTAAACGCACGGATTTTTTTTAGAGTGATCTCCAATACACTTTAAAAACAAAAACAAAAAAAACTGTGATTTCACTTTTCTGTAGAACACAGAGACAGCCAATCACGGCGAACAAGACAACAATCCCAGCCAATGACGAAGCTCAGAACAGAGCACATATTATTATTATTAATATTATTATAATTTTGTTTGTCTAATCGTATTCAGAGTTTCGTCATTGACTGGGATATTTTTTTTTATCATTAACCGTAATTGCCTGTCCCCGCGTTCTGCAAAAAAAGAAAAAAGAAGGTATAAACAGCGCATGCTCAGAACTATGCTGAGTGAGAGCTTAAGAAAATCTGGGCTATCTATCATGTTCGCGGTTTTTCCTTCGTGATCGGCTCTTTGGCATTCTTATCAGCTAATGTCGAAATCTAATTGCCTGCGAAGTGCTCAGATACTCGGGACTCGGGTTCGAATGCACAATTTATGTGACATCAGGAAAAGGGCGAAACATTCGTCAGCACCCTTTATTTCAAGATTGATGTCCGCAAGACCTAATCTCTGCCTCTCAGTGATTATGCGGCCAGAAACTGAGGGAGAGGAGGAAACGAGAGTGCACGGGAACGACGCCAAAACGCCGAGTTCCGACTGGAATGATTGGTGGGTAGAGGCAAAGCAATACCGTATTTACTCGAGCAATAGCCGCACAGTTTATGAAGAAAACCTGAGGGTTCGCTTTTCGGCGGAGCACGCAGATTGCCAATCACCGTGATCGACCGCATGATTCCAGCTGTTTACAGGACAGAGATAACGTCTTCCTACGAAGATACCATCTGTGAAGATTGCATTTGTATGGAGAATCGTGTTCTCGATCTGGTTATTCGCGCTGTTATTTATGCGCAATGCGATGATTGGTTGTATATGTGTTCTGTGGGAAAGTAGACGCAAGGGCCTTGTTTATAAATAGTGCGGCTATTACTCGAGTAAATACGGTAGTTGCCCCCTTTGTCTCCACTGCACTTTTCGAACGCGTTCGAACGCTACCGCTAAACGCCGGACGCCGGCGTTCCGCGTTCTAACGCGTTCGACGAGTGCAGTGGAGACAAAGGGGGCAACTATGAGGAGAGCAAGTCGTCTGCTTCTTGCGCAGGGGTTGCGGTGACGTCAGAAGGATGCCGAGCTCTGATTGGCTTTGATTGAAAGGATGCATGGGTAGACCTTAAAGGGGCGGTGCAACGATATTCAATTGGAATGTTTTTTCACTTTACACGAGCTTACTGGTACTAGTGGGACTCAAGGATACTCGCATGCAATGCCACTGACCAAGAAACTCCTTCGTTGCGCTGTAATTTCAAGGACAAAACTGAGTGTTTTCATTCAATCTCTCCTTCGCAAAACCTGATGACGTAGCTGGGCGTTGGCAGTACCGTCCAGTGACGATATTTCAATGCGGCTCTTAGATTGGACACGAGCATTGCGTGAGCACTCGATTTGGACTCGTGATAATCGATAGCTCAAGAAGAATTTGGGTAGTGTCCTGTGTCCAATCGCTGCAATGACGACAACAGCCGAACCATAACAATGTCTGGAACTCAGCGCGTGTATTCTGCCTTGCCAACCCCAGGGCATGGCTATGATCAACATTGGCGGCCTATAATAGGCTCCAGATCACGTGGCCGCTTGTTTTGGCTGCAAGTTGAGAAGATGAACTCTGCTCGTTTTTCTTTATTTATTTTTTTGCGACTTCGATGGCGTGTGGTGAAAAACGAACGGGTATTTCACAGGTCATTAACGTCAGGGATCCGTTCTAAGCGGGATTTGCGCAAAATACAAAAATCGTTCCATCGCCCCTTTAATGCTGGATGCTTTGAGGTCTACCCACTATTTTTTTTTTTTAATCGGCCGATAAGAGCTCGGCGTTCTGGCATCATCGCCAGTGCAAGAAGCAGACGAACTTGCGCTCCGCATAGCTTTAGTTTCTGCGAATTCTCTGGAGCGCCGGGACCACAAAAGACATCTACGAGAGCACGCTGAAAACCTGTCGAGACTATTGGGAAGACTTGCCTGTAGTCGAGATTGTGTGGAGACCTACTGCGGTACGCCTGCAGCTCTTGGAGGATGGTGTCCCCTTCCTCCTGCAGGTGTCGCAGCTGCTCGTCCCTGAAGGTGTCCTGAATGTGCCGCTTCTGCGCCTCTATCAGTTGCTGCGCCAGCGCCGACGACGGCGGCACTCGGCCCGTCCGCAGTTCTTGCATCACGGACACCAGCTGGCGCCCCGAGAGCCGGCAGCCGGACACGAACGGTTCCAGGAACTGTTCCCGAAGAGACGACACGAACACCCGCGACGTTTCACATTTCCGCTCGCCGCCCCGCAGTCTTCGCCGGAAGCGGCAGGCCCAATTGCCGGAATTGTGCTCTATGAATGCAACGTACTGGCCACTAACGATGCAATCTGTCCACAAAGCGGCTTATGGAGACTGTCAGAAAGCTGATATACCTTGTGAGTGAAACCGCCGCTGAAGTCGACTACCGCATTGAAGAAAAAGTGTCGAAAGCTATCGCAAAAATATTTGAGGGGGGAAAAAAATCTGCGTGTAGACTACGCTAGAATTTCATAAAAACAAACCGAAAGTTATTAAAAAAATTACCGGTGCACTAAAAAGAAACTGTGAAAACGCTACTAATGGCTCGGTGTCATTTCAAAAATGCACGCCAGACGACGTCTGGCCATACCGAAACTGGCTGGGGTAAAATTTGAAGTGAGGGTGCTTCAGTCCGAAGCGCCCGCTTTCGTTTGGCGTGCGATAGCCTCCTATATACTCACAAAGCCTGATAGATCGCCACAAGAAGCGGCCGCCGAGATGGAAAAGTTGGAGCGGCAGACAACGGATGAGAGGCGATCCACGTGACCGGCGCCCGGCTGCGGCGAGACGCCGAAACACATTTCTCCCGAGCGAACAAGTGTGTTTCGGGTCCTCGCCGCAGCAAAAATTGTGCACTGACGTCCAGGTTCCCCAACAAATGGCTCTTTGATGCTCTGTGCTACCAGATCCTCGCGCTCCAAATCTGCGACCGGGTACTCTATGACTCCGTGGTCGAACTGCCAGGCTTTGTGAGTATAGAGGAGTCTATGGGCATGCTGCACTAGAGGGCCAATGGGAAACATACCTTCCGGAAACTCATCCATTCCTGGTGATCGTAGGCGTAGGTGCCCCCAAACTCTGGCAGGAGGTTGTCTTTTTTAACGAACTTCAACAACTTCTCTTCGGAAGCTGCGAGTTCGACCTACAAGTGAAAATATATATTAATAAAATTGAAGGCGAGGCTATCTTATGTTTTGAACTACAGTCATTGGCCCGTAACGAACAACATCACTGTCAAGGACATCTTTGACAATGCTGCTTTAACTCGTGGAGTGGAGATTATGAGGCCCTAATGGTGTAACACAAAGGCAAGATGTTAAACTACCTATCAGAGAAGGAGTGAGCGTATAAACGTTCTAAAAGCATCACTCTACAGGTGCTTCGTCTGACTCTGAAGTCTCATGGGGGCTATGGTTCGTGGGTTCCTTAATGTTAGTCAGCGTTCTCGGCTTGCATTGTGCGAGGGAGAAAATCTTGTGCAATGTTTGTTGACATATTTTTAAAAAATTCAGAAAATGCCTTATCCCCCCCCCCCCCCAAAAAAAAAAATAAAAAGGAGTATTACCGAAGAGCGCCCATAGTGAGATCTCTAGAATCATAAAAGGAGCTCTCAATATGATAATTAGTGATTTCGGCCTAGGAGTGCCGCAGTTTGAATCACCAAAATGCCGATCAACAATTGCAGCTACCATTGCTCAAAGGTGTCTATGTGTGTTCTTTTATCCTTAACATCTCGAATCTCTGACATGATGAACCTGAGGCATTTAAGCTAGCATTGCGCTGCTCGACAGAGTTAGCGCGAACACATTTACGGCACAATTTTCGATTTTACCTGGATTAGGTGTTACCGCGTAACAAATGCTAACGCAGGTTAGTGTCCCGAATGAGCACTTTCCACCACACTAGTAGTTTTGATGAGAGCCTTCCAGTTACAAAAGAAAAACCGAAAAAACCGGCCATCGCTTGTGCATGCCAACAATGTCGCACTCTGGATAACCACGCAAACTGGTATACCAGGTATACCGATCTTTTGATTTCTGCAACGTCGATATTATCTCACCTATACTACAAAATAAGGTCTAAATACGAAAAAAAAAATAATAACTTGCACACCAGTGCAAGCATCTGCGTTGAGAGAATGCATTGAAAGTTGCATAATTAAAAAGCCGGTCTTATTGACGCTGTACATTCCTCTCGCGGACATTTTGCCACCAGCTAAAGCACGAACATTCTCAAAGAAGAAAAGGAGAGAAAGGGTAGCAATGGCGCGTTTTTCTCCCTTCTACTGACGTGCCCCCAAGCGGACACGAGAAGAGGGGAACTAGACGCTTTTCTCCTTGTCCAGGCAAACGGGAGGAAAGTTCCGCCCTCCCGCCGCATCCTCTTTCGGTTTCGTGTTTCAGGCACGTCGCACACGTTAATAAACGCCATTGAGCTGACTGAGCGTCAGCGGCAACGGAGGCTGCATGCCTGTAATTAAGTCTCCCAGCCCAAACGCGCAGAGCACCTCGACGGCATTGACGCCTTTACCGCTAATTTTGTCAAACGAGCGAACGAAGCCGTTAGAAACAGCGAAGTTCCGGAGCAGTGCCAGCAGTGCTACGTACATTAGACTAAGATGGCCCTCTCCGCAATTTTGCGTCCAAGTCAGGCAGGTTTTGCTGCCGGGTGCCTGCGCGTCCTCTGTGCTGCTATATTTGGGGTTATTTACTGCTAGCGAGTGCCATTCGACGATCAACGTGGCTATTTCTGTGAGTCACATCGACATGGCAGTGTTGCACGATGTGAACGAAGTCTGGAATCGTCGATAAGCTCCTGGAAAACTCGGGGGCGCGCCAAAGTTACCACTCATGCAGCAGGCGCAAAGCTAGCAGTGGCGGAACGCGATGATAATCTAATCATCCACGTTCCCCCACTGCTATAGCTTTGCGCCTGCCACACCAGTGATAACTTTGGTGCGCCCCCGAATTTCCCACGAGCTTCAAGTCGTTCTAAAATTGACTGATATAGTGGTTTTCGATTATGCTCAGCATGCTTCTAATTGAAACTGTATGATTATTTTTTACTAATTCAAAAGTTGGTGGAAGTTGAGTTAATTATCCCACTTATCGCAAAAATCAGCCACCTATAGGATATCCCCCTGGCTTTATAACTCACCTGCCCAAACTGTATTAGTGCATCTGTTATGGATTTCTTGAAAATAAATGTGTTCGAATTAAAATGGAACACCCAGTGTGTGTGTGTGTGTGTGTGTGTGTGTGTGTGTGTGTGTGTGTGTGTGTGTGTGTGTGTGTGTGTGCGTGCGCGCGTGCGTGCGTGTATATATATATATATATATATATATGAAACTCCCTGCAAGGAGCAGGTTGTGTTATTGGCTTTCACGAATAATTACCGCGTGAACGTTGACTTTTTACTAAGATATTAATCCCTTGTGCCGTTCAAAATACCTTCTGAGCAATGGAATTTCTGAGAAAAAATCGACATACATATATTTTTATTGCTTAGATGATCATCGAGAAAATCCGTACCTTCTAAACGACCAGTATGAAAGGCGGAAGCGCAGTGTACGGACAATACTTCAGCTTGGGCGAGTTGGTGAATCATGTTAATACTTCACATCGCACAAAAGACAACCATCAAATCACATCCACACAAAGAAACAGCACTCACGCAGCGCCGACTGTCAACTCTGGTATATATGAAACATCATCTTCGTTATCTTTTACTCTTACGCGTTAAAAAGAGACGAGAGGTCTAGCAATTGCTGAAGACGCGGGCACCGGAAAGCTGATGAAAAAGTTCGTCGGGGTACGGTAGAGGGTGGGAATCCAAAACTAATGCAGTGTTCGGCTTGCGTAAGTCTACAGAGAGCCGGATCTCCCCATTCTTCTTGCGGGCCACCACGATGGGAGACACCCACTCCGAAGCATCCATGCGCTCGATAAGCCCGGAGCGTTCCAGCTACGCCAGTTCCTCAGAAACTTTCTCGCGCACTGCGAAAAATAGTCTTCTTAGCTTTTGTTCGAAAGGAGCGACGGAATCTTTTCGTCTTTACCTTATGTACGAATCCTTTCGCATGACCTAATCCCTCGGAGAACAGATGGGGGAAATCTTGTGCGATCTCTGGAAGATTTCTCGCGGAGACCGTTGCCACTCGTCCAGTTGGATGTCCAACGCACGTAAGGCGTCTAGGCCCATGACAGCCGCGCCTGTTCGTACGACGTGGAATGTGCAGATGCCGTGTCTTTGCGCGAACTGCACGGGTGCGTCGAATTTCCCCAGAATGGGAACAACTTTTCCGGAGTAGTCCAGAAGTGTTGTACTCAAACATTCCACCTTGTAAGAGTGGAAGTGTCTTCGGTAGACGTGTTGTGACCGAGTTGACAGTCAGCGCTGCGTGAGTGTTGTTTCTTTGTGTGGATGTGATTCGACGGTTGGTCTTTTGTGCGCTGTGAAGTATTAGCAGTGCACGGAGTCAGTGATGGGGGTAGTGTGCGTTCATGTTGATGTTTGTGTGTGTTGGGTAGGGTGTATGTTCTCGCTTTATGTGAACTTTACATTCAATGCTATGGTGTGTAGTGGCAAGCGAAGTTGCGCGATATGTATGCGTGTGCATGATAAAAATGTCTAAATCGCAATAGTTAACTAAAGAAAAAAAAACGAAATGACCGCATCTCCACGTGGTGAATGATGTTGATTGGGGCGAAGCTCTGGTGGTGCTTGTCTGCGTAGACGCTGAGCCGCAGCAAGCCGAGCCTTTCGTTCGTTTTCATCCATGTCAGTAAGAGAATGTGTGGTATGGAACGTGGTTATATACGCATTTGAGCATTTGACCGCAGTGCCCTCTCGTCTATAAACGTGGAGCCAATGCATGCAAAGTTTAACGCGATTATATACGCATTTGACCGCAGCGCCCTGTCCTGTATAGACGTTGAGCGGCTACATGCAACGTTTCATTCATGACATCCCCTGCTCTTGAGTTACTACCATGTCTCAAAGACCCCTACTCGTCCCGCAGTCGTGGCCGAATGGTTAAAGCGATGGACTAGAAATTCATTGGGGTCTCCCCGCACAGGTTCAAATCCTGTCGACTGCGCAAACATTTATATATATTTTTTTGCCCTACAGGAGCACGTGAGCACGTGAGCTCACGAGCACGAGCACCAGCAAGATCGATGTGAGCATGGACGCCGGACTGACAAGGCTAGACCCTAAGGCGCTTCGCCCCTAAAAAATGTGGCCGGTGAATTGGCCGGTACCTAGCGCCAGCTAGCCAAGACATTTCCAATTACTCTGTCTGCATCTGTCATCTGGTGGCCAGCGATTTAACCTCCTTTTAAGCTTCGGGATATTTTCTGTGCCGTGCAATGAGCGAAGTTGTCTGCTTTGACTTGGCTCTTTCGAGAACGACTTCTAGTTTCGCGAATGGTTTACCACTCCTCTCTGGTGTGCGGCGCTAACGAAGAAATTGTGACGCGGGGAATCGCAAAGGCAAGTCGTGACGTGAGCGCAGTGGCAGAGTTTCGATTGTCTCTGTTTACCATTGCAGTGTTGAAAACAATAGAGAGTTTTAGGGAACCGTTTTTACACCAACGATACGATACGATCGGCTTTCCGGTATGGATGCGCATGCGTGAGGTCACTGCTGTCTTATCGCAGCCCAGTGTCCTAACCGTAAGCTGTCAACGTGTGGTCAAAGCGGCTGATATCAAAAGCGTCTCGACTCGTTTAGAGAACGGCTGTTTCGCTGTGAGAAGAGGCTTGTCGAAGCTTCAAACGTGAATGAAAGAGTTCGTGGTTGTGCCCAGAAGAAATGTCACGGTGACGGCGAGAGAATCAGCTCGAATTCCCCCCTTCCAAAAAAAAAAAAAACGAAACGTGAACAAGACATTAACGCTTTTTTAGAATCATATTGTTCGTTGTTCTCAGTTTGCGGGGATGTGGCATAGCTCAATTGATGGAAGCGTCACTTCCCATTTCGATGAAGGCGCCGACGACAAGGGTTCAAACCCTGTCCGATGACCCGGCCGTTAGTGGTTAGAATGTCCGAGATTCGCAACGCGGAGCGAAGATTAGCTACGTCGGCTTTGTTGGCGTGGCACATCCATCGACGCGACGTCGGACGTCCCTAGTCTCGCCGTCAACAATCTCCACCTTTTTGGGGAAGCCAAGTCAGATAAAAAGACTTTTTCGAAGTTTCTGGCTCTTTTAGGCAAAAAGAGCCAAAAACTTTCGAATCGGCTCTTTGAGGCAAAAAGCCTAAAAAAGCCAATTCGAACTCATCGTCAAAAAGTTCTAGTGCTATGTTCGCCGCGAAGATCGTCTGCTCCTTTAGCAGACGAACTGTTTAGTCACGTTGGGGTCGCCGCCGCCGCATTTAGCACTCTCATTCGAGCAAAACCAAAACGAAACAAAGTACGGTTAGTTCCTCTTATTTGGCTTCAGGCTATTTCGTTCAAAGGGAAGTGTATTTCCTTCAGTTCTGGGAAATTACCAAACACTCCACCACACTCCTCACTCCACTCCACTTTACTCCACTCCACTCCACTCCAAAGCCCCTTTTTTACCCACTTTACGAAGCCATTGCGCATTTCTGTTGCGAGGGCGCGCAACCTACACCGATCGTCTGTAGATCGTCTGCAAACGCGGCTCTCTCTAAAAGCCGTTTCACGGAAAACGATCAATCCGAGCTCCCGATCCGAGGTAGCGATCGTTTGGTTTATCGACCGTGTTTCCATTCCGGTTCCCTAAAACTCTAATACTGAGTGACTGCGTTCAAAACCCGTTTCCTTCCGCGCGCGGGAATCCGGCTTCGGCAATAAATACAGTTCGTGAAAAGCTCGTGCTCGTATTATGTTTTCATTTGCTACAGCTCTCGCTCCGAAAGCAGACTTTGGATGTGTGCGAAGCGGTCGATTCCGTTTCCTGCGATAGCTGCTTAGGAGGCAATAGGGGGCCGCCAGTGGTGAGATGTATTTGCCTGCCCGAAAATTATGCAAGCTCTTTTCGGTTGAATCGCTGTAGCGTCCTGTGTAAAGACCTACGATATGCGTAGCGTCCTGGCGTCCTCGTTAAACCTTACTGAGCTCGCTTCACTCGATTCGAAGCCGCCCCATTGCTACGCAGAACTTTGCTTCCCCGTTTGCCGGGATGAATGTTGCTCCGTTTCTGAAGGATATAGGAGACAATAGCGTTCCTCCCTTTATGGAGGAATATATAGACCCTTCATCCTAAGAGTGTTATATTGTAAGCTGTCAACCCCACCATTCACATATATTCGTTACACAAGTCCAGTTTCAACACTGCGTGCCTTTTTAAAAAAACATTTCGTCATTACACAATATATCAAACTAAGACGGATGGCACGGTGATAGCGTAAGCTTATGAACTGTTCCACGAAAGAAGAAACTCTTCTAGGTGCGCACGGATATAGCTGAAGGAATCGAGTTCCTTCATAGGATCACACAGAATAAAGACAAACACGGAACTTTAGTTTTTGATCTCATCGCGAAGGCTTTAGAAAGTAGATCTATAGTCGGTAGAATGAATTATTCACGCGCACATTGTTGCAGGAAAGCCTCCCTGTCCAATGTTTTGTTAGACAACAGTTTTTCTTTTCTAATCATAAGTGGGTCAACCTACCTTAACTCTGCTTTGTGGAAGAAGTCTTTTGGCGTCCAGGTGACTCCTCGAGTTCCAGACCAGCACCGTGTCGACAGCATTGCAGATGTTTGCCTGGATAACAACGTTGCATGCCTTACATTTAATTTTACATGCCTTACGTGCCCCTCATGCAAGTAACTCTGCGTTATAGGCAACGCAGCATTTAACTATTTGTGACGTACACAATAAAAAAAGAAGGTACTGAGCATTGTGCAAGTCAAACTTCGGTCCATCTACATCGCAGGGAGATTAGTTGGACACGTGCTGTTTGGCCATGATGGTGTTGTTTGCTGTTGTTTATTTCAGTTTTTTTTTTTTTAATTACATTTTTAGTTGGGAGTCAGCGTTTGTTTTGTGTACACCCTCCTACTTGTTTTTTGAGCGCTGTGTCAATTTTACTATTTAACTGATAGTGCAAGTCGACAGGTTCAAAATGAGCTAACTGGATTGGAAGTAAAAAGAAAATAGACAACAATGTGGTGAAGCAAATGCAACAATGTCTTACCTCGAGGAGACTAAACGCTTCATCCAGGGCAGTCCATAACTCGTCCGTCGCTTCAGCAGCATTGACCAGGACGAGGAAGCTGTGAACACCGTTTTCTTTCCTGAAAGACGAAAACAACTGAGTACCAAGCTTCTTCAATAAGAACCAGTTCATTCATAAGGAAAGTTTAGAGAGTGAAAGTGAATAAAATTACGAAAACATAGTACCCACAAAAAATACAGCTCCTGAACCTGGTGAGATTTAAAACTTAACAATTATATACATTCACAGTCAACCTAGAGAAGCAAGGCATGAACAAACTTTGCCCCCCCCCCCCCCCCTTTCTCTCCCCAATGTGACATCAGAACCAGCGATACACTTTACAGCCAGGAATACAGAGCATCAATCAAGAACCGGAAGGCTCTGCCAGCTTTAGATAAACCTTATCTCTCTTTTTTTTCTTTCTTTGGCTGACACTATAGCAGCATTACCCCTTCTATGTATACTAACATAAATAAATAATTTACGCCAAAACAGTAACAAATACGAGCTAACCGGCTAAATCGTTGACCTCGCTCCTCTCTGCGAAAAGCAACTGAACAACGAAACCCACATCTACTTTGGTATTATGACCTTGGTTCATAGAGACCAGTCGGCGATATCGCGGGTGACTCTTTCATAAGAAGATATTCTCCAGCTTGTATTCCGTTCAGCAGTCTCAGGTTTGGGCTTCACATAACAGAATTTCATTTGTAATAATAGTTTCGATTAAAGTCTTCCAGTTGGAAAAGAAAAAAGAAAAGCAAACAAATACGGCGATCGCTTTCTTTTGGGCTAACTGCATCAGTACCGCTGTACGAGCCAGGCTGTGTCACCTCTATTCAAAGGTCACGTGTATGATATATACTACTAGCTGCAAGACAGAATGGAATGCACTATTTTACCTGGTTCACACGGCCAACCCAAAGATGGGACGTGCGTGCCCCTTTAGGCTGGTCGTATACACCGAGTGTTTGAACAGTAAGGCGTAATGAATACTTACTTTGGTATGGTGCAGAAGTACATCAGCATCTGAGCCAGCTGAGATGGAGTCAGGTCGGGAAGTTCTCTGAACGCAGAACTACTAACGATGACCACACCTCTTCCATCGACATCCCTGCAGCCTGCAAAGACAAAAAACCGCACAATAAATACCACTCTACACTGTTTTACTAAAAAAAAAAAAAAAACACAAGATCGGAGGGCGGCAACAACATGCAGTCATAAAATAATAATAAAAATAAAAATCTGGATCGACTTTTTCAAAACAAAATAAGCGAAAGCTTTCTTCGACGAGTCTCGATTAAATATAACGGTGGGGCTACATCACAGCGCCTGGAGACTGCAATCCCCTCGTCCTGCTCATACGATGGCTTTGCTAAGGCATTTCGGTTACAATGTTTCGATTTAGATTTTCGTTCACAGTGAATAGGCGTGCCGTCCTTGAGGACAGGCAGCCGCAGTCTAAAGATTTAGCAACAGTTACACGCAATTTGTGCCAGTCATTAAAGAAAAACGATACGTTCCCACCTCTTTCGGCCTGATTGAAGCAGAAAGTGCGGAAGGAGCATCTTCGCATCTTACGTTTGCACTGAACAACAAACGGCAAAAACCAGGCCTGTATACATCTGCGCATAAGCAGCATCAGCTCAAGGGAGCCTCTATCTTCAGCTCTAGTCCCGAGCAGAGGCTGCCCCGCCGGCAAGTCTCACAACCAAAGCTACACAGAGCAACGATGGTCAGCGAGACAAGTTGCTTGAACAAGCGAAAGTTACACAAACAACTGGGATACAGATCAGACGTTCCCTCGATTAGAGACGCATTACGCCCGCTGCGTCCGCTGTTTCCTTCTTTGCTAATACGCCAATTTCCGCGATAACGGAGTCCTCGAGCGCCACTACCAAGGGCAGCTTATTCGTCTAATTATGCCCGCGAGAGCCCTTCGAGCGAGCACACGCAGGAATACCGGAAAATGAGACAAATGCGACAAGTACGGAGGGCCACGCGCGAGCGAAAGGAGACGCTCTGCAATAGATCCATTAGCCTTTAGGCTGGTTCACACGTTTGCGCTTGAGTGTGATCGACTGCATCCGCTCATAACCGTTGACGGCGAGCTGACTGCAAGGGATGAACACTGGCGCCATCTAACGGGTAGCCCGTTAGATGGCGCCTGTATTTTACGCCTCATTCTATCAACCTGTACTTGACAAAATTCGTACAAATGTTATAGGCGACCATTTCTCAAAGATAGTGCGTAGATACGATCTCGCAAACACTGCCAAGCCTTCAGTCTAGTTCTAAACAAATCGGGAGTGTTACATGGCTGCCCGATAGATCGCGCCAGTGTACCACTGCATTCTCTCGCCGTAAGCGGTTTCAAGCAGTCGTAACGTAGTCGATCGCACTAAAACGCATATGTGTGAAGCAGCCTTTAGCCACACTAGGACTGCCGCTAAAGCAGCAGCGAAGCGCACCAAGCGCGAGAAACGGATTCTGGCCCGTCGACGGATCCTTCATCCTTGACTGCATTTACGACCGAGCTACAAGATGCTCAGTCAAGGGTCAATCAAAATACAATATATATATATATATATAAAAAAAAATAAAAGAAAACTAGACCCTGCGTAAAACGCCAAGGCGCTGCGGAGTTCAAATTAGGCAGTGTCCCTCGTTCGCCGACGTTCTTGAGCAGCGAGCGATTCTGATTGGAGGGCAAGCACACATCGACAGGCCACCACGTGCGCGTGTCAGCAGCGATGAGCCGCCTTTCCGTTCATGGTTTCCGACGAAGAAGCGGCGTCAGATTCTTGTTTCTTTCTTTGTTTTGTTTCTTCTTTTTCTGAGGAAGGGTTGCGTCCTCTCTCCTTTTCCTCTTCGACCACAGGACATGCGAGGGCGTTTGTTCACGACTTCCTCGAACGACGCCGAAAAACGGCCGAAAACGCGCGTGACATCCTCGGCCTCGGGCACCGGAAATGTCGTGTCATCTCGGATATCCTGTGGACGTCCAGGCGCTCACAGAGAAAGTACACGCGCCAAGAAGCAAGCGAAGGACGGATTATATGTATACGGCACCTTAGTTTCAAAATACTCGGTCGCATTTATGCTCCGCAGCAGGATTAAGCTGAGCTAGTTAAATATTCGGTGAGGTGGGAACAAAAGAGAACATTTCCCTCATGGGGGAGGAAAAAGAAGAGTCAGTTGTTAGACCAGCGGTGTGTATGGTCTTTGCTTTGTATCTATGTTTATTCTAGTTCGCCTTATCTGACGCATGTAAACGTTTGCTATGCGGTTGAGTGAAAGAATGGTTAACACTGAGTAACGGGCCGTCGTCAAGACGCTTCCACAACCACGACAGGTCTTAGAAAACGATGGCAGCCCAGTCTACCTGCGGATTTTAAGGACTTGGCCATCTTCGCTGACAGTCCGTGACTTCGCCCTGGGTGGCTATTATATGTTTCCCAAGCACAGGAGTGTGCTTCGAGGAGTGCAATTTCAGCAGGATGATCAGACTTCAAGGATGCGGTCAGTGTACGGGCAAGGAACAAAACTTAAAAAAAAAAATGTTATAAGAGAATAGAGTAGGCTACACTGCGATTATATAGAAAAGTAAAGGTAGCTTTATTTATCAAGCATTTTTGTTTTTGGACATTATGTATATAATTATATATCGTCAAAAACGTGGTACAAACACACAGACAAAAATGATACGGATACTGCCTGGTCATGCGTGTGTGTGTGTGTGTGTGTGTATCTCCGAGTGCTCGTGTTCATTCCTACACCTTGTCACACGATTCTCATGCTTCCAGTTGCCATATCACCACCAGTTCGTCTGCCTTATTTTTCTTGCTTCTGTCCAGTACATTACTTCTCGGTGAAAGTCGTTAGACCTGGTGGCGAGAGATTCGATATGGTTCATCGTAAGGGGAATACCGTGACCGCGAGGCGGGTCGGGGTATCGGGAGGAAACAGCCATTTAGTTACAAAGATGGTTACAAAGATCCAGGTCGTGCGTCACACTCCGAAGAAACCACCTAACTAAAAAAAGCCCATTAACGCGAAACGTTCAGGAAACACTCTTTAAATAGACCTCGAATGGGGGAACATGACCGCCGATCTCCATTTCTCATCCATCCATTTTCACGCGTTCTGGAACAGCGCTATTTTCGAACGGATCGAATAGAGGGTCGAGCCAAGCCAAGCTCGCCCCGAGAGAAACACACCGCGGACATGCCGCTTAGTCATCGCGAAGTCTAACGGACCAACTATCTTTCGAAAGCAAGGAAAAAAAAAAGCCGCGGGAAACCGATTTGCCGTCTACAGTTTCACTTCGAGTTAGCCAGCTCGCTGTTGATCTAAGACGAGCGCAGGCCCACTTGAAAACCGGGCTCAACCGGGCCACCCGATCGGCGTCCGGGCCGGGCCCAGCAGCGGAAGACTGCGCTCGCTCCTCCAGGCCGCACCTCCGAGTAGCCCACGGGCCCGCGGGATGTCTGGTGCCGCTCAGGCGGTAATCAAAGAACTGGGACCGACATTATTTATAACATCGGCGAAGAGACTCGGAACTCGGTAACGACTAGAGATGCGCGCGTGTCGGGAATTTCCAATCTTGGGACCCCAAAACTTCCCTCTCCCGCGGCATCGATGATGACCCACCTTCGTCTCCCGGGGTCAGGGTCACGCTTCGTTTTGCTTTAGGTCGCCCCAGAGCTTCATGAAGGAAGAAGCGACGCCGCATTGTCCTTGCTGTATGTTTGCTTCCCGGAATCTTGCGAGGTCTCCTCCTCGGAGCCCTGGGAACCTCGGCGAGTTGCCGTTACGCAAGGGCCAATTACTCCGGTTGATGGCGTTTGCGCCGAAAGTTCTTGCACGGGGGTGAAGATTCATTCATCAGCGCGCTAATCAGAGGTTGTACGTATGACGCGCGAGAGCCTTGTCCCAGATATGAGCGAATGAAGAAAACCGTTTTGCTGTGTATAAACTTTAAACCAGACGTCGGCCGCCGCCGCGAAACCAACGTGAGGTTTTCAGAACATGATTCACGAGTAATGCGCTGATGTTTTTCGTTGGAGTTCCTTCGTTGCTTTTTCTTTGGAAAATGGGAAAGGGAGAGAAAGATGACTTCCCAATAAACTAAGGCAGGTAAATGCTGCGGTGGCTACTTCTGAATGATAGCTGCGCTGTTGATCGCCCGTTTGATCCTCGTTTTGTAGGCAGAAGTAGGTAGCAGAGCATTTTGCAGTTGCTCTAGCCTGACACATAAATCGAAGTCAACCCCGGCTGCGAAAGGCTCTATTTAATGCCTCTACGGACCATGCCTCTTAAAATCGCAAAATGAAGTTTAAAAAAAAAAAAAGAAAAGAGGGGGGGGGGGGGGAGGTGCACGGAGGAATCGGCGAACAAACTGTAGATTAGTAAATGATCGTAAACTTCCCCGTGCTTATTATAATCAAATTTTCGCTGTCTAATCATATTCACGGGCAAAACAGCTGGGGCCGTGGCCTGCTAGCTCCGTTCTCGTACAACATAAACTTACGCAGAGTATACCGCTGCAACGCATTCCTTGGATCAATTTCTAAAATCGCATAATACTGCTTCGGACATATATTCAAAAAGTTTGGCGCATTAAAGACAAAAAAAAAAGTAGTTGAGTATGCCCAATGAGCAGTAGTGGTCCCAGATATTTTAGGGGGAGAAGGGGGGGGGGGGGGGATAATCTAGTCGGCGGGAGAAACCATGAGAGACAGTAGCGGCGGACGGCGCCCAGAAGATTAGGCCAGCCATTGCCGCCATGTCCACATGGTGCCGTCTAAACAAAAGAAGACCTCAAAGCGACGGCTAACATTCTCCTCAAAAGAGATATGACAGAACTTCGAAATAATCCCTGAGGTGCGGCTGACGTACATCGTCGAGGTCAAAAGGCCAATTCCAGTGAACAAAACATTCTGCAAACAAATGCAAAAAAAAAAAAAAACGAAAAGCTTTTTTGTTTTTTGGGGCGGGAAGGAAGGTTAGAAGAGAAACAGTCCTCTCTCCTCTCCCCCCCCCCCCCCCTTTTTTTACCGCCAGGACCGCTACTGCTGATGTGGAGCGTGCTGGCTCTTTCCCCTTGCTAAGTACAAAA